CCGAGGAGATACCTACACCAGGCCTTAGCGTATCTTCACAATTCGATCAGTCTGAAACCCTTTTCCTCATGCAACGATTCGCCAACGCGTGCCGTGGGTCTTAGACTATTTTAGACCGTCAATACCTAACTAAGACTGCGAAGACGATTTGATGGACAAATGACAAGGACAAATCGCACGGAATTCCCAGCCAGGGGACCAAGCGGGCAGCACAGAAACAATGTCGAAGCTTGGAAGGTGGACACATCACATTCACATGCGGGGCATATATCTGGCTGTTTAGAGGTCAATGTCAATGGTCAATGGTCATCTGAGATTTAGTCCTGTAGGTGATTGCCTTCCAATCTGCATGCTTGTAGTCTATTTTCATGCCATTCCTGTGTAATCCAAGTCATTCATGGAACATGACTATGAACGTTGGGGACTGGCAGTAAGCACCTAAGTCCATATAAGCCATTGGAATTAGTACCCAGCTGGGCCAGCTCTCTCCACATTCCAGTAACGGCAATGCTCCTATTGGCGGCATCTACTGCCTGAAGATCTCCTGACAGCGGAATGTACTTCTTGGTCCATGCTCACCTAGTACCTAGTAGTGTACCTAGCCTGGAAAGGAAGTGCTTCTGGTGGGCTGTGGCTGTGGTAGTCATGCTAGCATACCTTGGAGCTATCTCAGACCCCGACTTTAGTACACTTTAGTAGAGTATGGGTATGCACCATGCAGCCCAGTTATCTTTGTGCTACTACTACTCTCCCACTAGTGCACTGCTACTGCTAACCGCTCATACTGTGGGGTGGATATGGGTAGTGGATACTACGTACCGTACCGCCTCAGTAGTATGGACTATCTACAGAGAACCAAATCCTGCCAGTAAATGATATTGCTGAATGCTGATCGGAATTCCTTGGCAGCAAAGTCCATACCACTAGTGAAATTCCAGATTCCAGAAACCGGGAACGGAGCTGAGCTTAATGTTAAGATAGTTGGTCAAGGATAAGACTAAGTAAGACTAACAGACGATAGGATAGGTCCATGGGCTGGGCTAGACTTGAGGTACCTTAGCTTATACCGTACGTGCCAAGGGCTTTGGTGAGGCGCGCTCTGGTGTTGAGTGTAATCCTGAATATCCATAGTATGTTCTAAGTGATGAACACTTCCTTTGGAATTACGTGATTGGAATTTGGGGAGTACAGTTCTTGAGCTGTATGCAGTATGCTTCCCCACTTTGGGTCGAGATGGGATGTGGATGTGTATGTGGATGTTCAAAGTTGGCAGGCATGGCATGCATGTTTCGAAAGCTGACCGCTCGTTCGAATCCGCCGGAACTATTGATTTGGCCGGCAAGATGCGGTGACCTTGATGTACGTGAACTTCCTCGGAACGATCTCTCTTAGGGCCCCAGGGGTTATACGATTATACCTCAGGTCTCAGTCAAGTGTTATAAACAAACCATTCCGTGTTGGGTTCGATGGACATTCATCTGCGAGACTACGATCGACCTGCCTGCTAGTGTAGATTTATTAGTTAACTAAAGTAGTTCTGCTCCACAGCAGTCACTAAGGGTTAGGTATTGGTATCTCAACTTCCCCGTCGCTATGATCATTTAGCGCGTGAATATGTCTAATGACATATTCAAGGCTACTGACAGTGTCGAAAAAGGAGATCAGCAGTTGATACTCATACTTGAGGCAGATTCAATCGCGCCTCGGCGATGGAGTACGGACAACACAAAATTGCGCTCTCATGCTTTCTGGCAGCAATAATGGCAGGATATATCACCTCCACAGATCAACTTACCATGTCTTCAGCTGACAATGTGGCACAATGTCCTGCCTGGTCGCCGAACTCCACTAGCACATCATGTTCGACGGGGTACCCAGATATCGCTGCGATGGCTTGGACTAAGAAGCTTGTTGACCATGGCAGAGACGACAAAGATCGGCCACGCTGAAGAAACGTATAGTGTACGTGATATCATATGCTGAACACTGGACTATTGGCCCAGGACTTGGATTGGAAAGTGTACTTCGTACTGAGAACTGAGAGGGGCTCGGCGTCAGATGGCGGTCAGTATTGAGATGCCGTGGTGGATTTGACTCTGGACTCAAAATGTGATATGCTGCACTTGTAATTGACACGTGATATATCTGGAGCACGGAATACTTGGAAGGATTGATTGGCATTCGAAGTGGATGTGGTTGAGGTTTTGCTTTTGTGATGAGTTTCGTCAGCGATCAAACCACTAGGCCGAAAGGTGTCTAGACGGCCATTTCTAGCATAGTAGAAATGATAGGTTATCATATAGGGGCTAGTAAGTTATAATGTAATTCCCTGCTGAGTCGATCAACACCCCCGAGCTGATCACCTTGTATTCCATATAAAATGGCTGTTTCCAAGGCCTTAATATCTCAACAACTAGCATATATCAGGAAGGGTCAGTGGAATATTTGGGAAATATATACTAAAAAACATATTATACTTATTTTCAAGTCTCTAAAACGTTGTTTTTCTCTCTAGGAATCTAGAATATATAAAATACCCAAAAATACAGATGTCGTCACTAATATCTGGGAAATACCCATACTAATAGGCTGTATGGCTAAGATATATGAGTATATTACTATACTATGATCTATGACTAGATCTAGTTCCCCGTAAACGCCTTTGTTGTTGAGATATTGTCATATTGAGGCCTTGAAAATGGCCATTTTACATAGCTCAGGGGTGTTGACCAACTCGGTAGGACTAAGCTAGTTATGCTTCAATTAGTCATACGCATAAAAAATCACATGACCAACTAGAGGCACTAGTTTAAAGGCCACCACACAACATCGTCTTCCCGGTTTTTTTTGCCAACAACACTGAATGATCATGAGCTCAAATTGAGCAGTCAAGTTTACTTGCAAGAAACACAAAGTATTGTTTCCAGTTCTTCCGGATCTACAAATCATCACATCAGATGGAGTAGCTGCCTGTGAGCTCTAATGTCGGGCTCATGACCGTTATTCCCTCAACTCTTTCCCAGACTATGATGACTTCTCTTCTTTGGCACGAGGCAGCGAAAACTGCAGTGGGTGACCAAATACCATATCAAGCTCAACAGTCTGAGTCTGGATGAAACCTTTTATTACTGTGCTTTGCCAGATAGTACCGCGACCCTGCTTCCTTGACGATACAGTCCATAGCTCTCACGACCCTGACAAAATCAAATCAACTAAGATCTAATCCAAGAAACAGAGTCCCCTCGAGAGGCGTCTCATAGTAGGCTTGTATTTCGACAAACCCAGCACATTTATAGAGTTGCCGCGCCCCAGTCATGGACGGCAGCGTATCGAGTCTCATTTCACGATACCCCAGTTCCTTGGCCCTCTGGATAATTGCATCCAGGAGAGCCTTTCCGAGACCCATCCCCCGTGCTTCAGGACACACATACAGTCGCTTCATCTCACAGCACGATCGGACTTCGTTTTGTGGTTGCGCTGCTTCGTGCCCTTTCTTAACGAGTGGACGAACGGCCACGCAGCCAAGGGCAATCTTGGGATCAATTCCGTAAGCTAGCAGCAACGCTCCGTGCGGAGAACCGTACTGGCTAGATAGGTTCTGTAGTTCGAATTCGAAGCTTTGGAAGGTGAGGTCGATACCGAGTGACTCGGCATAAGCCCTGAATAACGTCCTAGCTGTTGCAAAGTCTTCGGCAGTTTGAGCTGGGACGATCTGAAAGCTGCTATAGGGAGCCATGAGGCAGAAAAATGGGTTAAGTTTGAGATATCCTGCAAATACTGGGCTCGAAAATGATAGTCAGAGTGAGTTTGGCTGGTTACTGCTCTGTCATACTATCCGGACGAGACGCGAGTTGATATGTTGCTAAGCCGGTATCGGATCGCCCTATGACTCAGTTTGATGGCCAAGTTGGCAGGGTAGATCATCCACGGCATAGGTGCGGATATTGTCGCAGCCAGCCAGAGAATGTAGGTAGGGTAGATAATCATCTACGGATAGAAGTAAGCTGTATGATTGATGATGATGATGCCTAGATGCAAAGGACAAACATGCTTGCTGGCCTCAGGCGCCCAGGCTAGCACCGCTCGCATCCAAGTCAATCCGACTCGGTTCTGTAAATAATCTGACCTCAATCGTAACCCACCAACACTTCTCAACTTCGGTACCCTTATTATCTCAATGTCCGATGGGTCAAAACCAAATTGGCTATAACGTTGCTATGTCGTCGTTGAATTTCATGCTCGGCCCCCGCAGCTTAGTTGACATCGGCCATGTCATGAAAATACTTCGATCTAGTCGCTGAATGCATTAAAGTAGATTGAACTCCTCTACGCTAGGTCCGACCGATGGCTAACCTGCTGTTTTCTTCTGAGAGCTGCTTGCTTCGTTTACTCCAATTTTTCTCATACATAAGTGTTCCCTGGGAGTCTGGGACTTTCATGTCGAGTGACTTGCACGAATTACGAGCCGTCGATGCAACTTTCTGAACCTTTGATACATAGCGGTGGAGTCGAAGAAATCCAGATCAGCAATCGTCAAGATTAACAAAATATCCTGGCCACTCCTTAATGGTTCTCGATTCCACCCCGAAGGCCTCCCGTCGGCTGAGCGACAGTCCGGCAACTACAAATTCGAACCAAATCATACGATTGGACAGACTCTATCTGATCGACTCCCCCGCCTCGACAAGGACGGCAACAAAATCAAGAATAAACGGAGCTCGACGGCGACGTCCGATTGCTTGTCGCTGCGTTGATCTGTGTTCCTGAATCCGAGGTAATCTCCGCTGTCAAATCAGCGGCGTGTTATCAGTACATGTGCTGCTATCAACGCTTGGCAATACGAAGCGATGCTCCATAGTTAATGCAGTGCTGTCGTATCTGAGGCGAGCGTCTTCAATCTGGGAAAATTGCCTATATAAGGCGAGGTCTTCCATCTTTGACCTCTGCTCGTTCTCGCCCCTAACTTCTTGCATCCGTGTCAACCTGTCCACCCTGCTAAGATGCCCGCAACCCATTTCCCGTCGATGGGCAAACTCGCCCTGGGTGCAATGCACCTTGCCTCTGGTTTTCATAACCACAATCTTCAGAGCTGCCCAGGGAACATCCCAGTGAGTTGCAGCAACACGACCGCGGTGTCTGACTCTTGCTGCTTCAATCATCCCGGAGGATCGCTCCTCTTGACTCAATTCTGGGACACCAATCCGGCCACTGGTCCTTCAGACTCCTGGACTGTTCACGGACTTTGGTATGCTCGAGCAGAGGGAAATAATGCAATATGGTCATTAACAATCGACGCAGGCCCGACAACTGTGACGGCACGTACGAGCAGTTCTGTGATTCTTCTCGCGAGTATTCGAACATCACGGAGATCCTCCAGGCGCAGGGTAGGACCGAGCTGCTGTCCTACATGCAAACCTACTGGAAGGACTACCAAGGTGATGACGAGAGCTTCTGGGAGCACGAATGGAACAAGCATGGTTCGTTTGTGCCATCTGACAATCCCGACCAGGCACTAATGATGATATAGGCACTTGCATCAACACCATCGAGCCCAGCTGCTACACCGACTACAAGCCCCAGGAAGAGGTCGGTGATTATTTTCAGAAGACTGTCGATCTTTTCAAGGGCCTCGATACGTACAAGGTATGCATTAGACATGAATTATTGGCCATACTGAGACTAACGGGCCAGGCTCTTGCCGCTGCCGGCATCACTCCCAGTTCGTCCAAGACATACAAATTGAGCGACATCCTGTCCGCTCTGTCCGCAATCACCGGCCATGAACCCTCGGTCGGCTGCAGTAACGGCGAGCTGAATGAAGCTTGGTACTTCTTCAATGTCAAAGGCAATCTCGTCAATGGCAAATACGTGCCTACTGATCCGCGTATGTTGTCTGTTCATCCTCAGCCCCATAGACGACAGCTAACCTGAAATAACTAGTCTCATCTTCAACCTGCCCCTCCTCTGGCATTAAATACTTGCCCAAGCCTGTCAGCGGCGGCCATAATGCTACACGTCCATCTTGGAAGTTTGGGGGAAAGGAGGGAAAGCACGTCATTCGCCATGACTGAGCGTTCTGTTATATGGAGCGGAATGGTGCAGATGTATGAAGTCAAACGTCCTTAAGGATCTCGCAACGACAGAATATCCGAGTACCGCGATCCTTGTATCGCGGCCAGTCTGAACGTAACGATGCGGTTAGAATGCCCTCGACTCCGAGTGGGTTTGCCAGACCCGCACAGCTCTACCTGCGCCTGTATCCTGCAATAATTTCCAGATAGAATCGTTTGGCGCACTATTATGTGCCTGTATGGTCGACATATGATACCCGTGCATGTAGCAACATAGGTTCCAAGACATCTCCCAAGCGCCCTTGCTGCGTACCATGCTTGCTGCGGTATTCGGCCGTAGCAGTCGGGTCCCGAGGCGATGCAGAACGGCGCGGCAATTGTGGGTAGCATCGCATCTCGAAACCGCCAGGGGGGAAGTGATGAGGAATTTGATAGTTCCGAACTACCTATTGCCGCGATGCCATGGCCGACACGACGTGTAGGAGAGCTGGTGTAAGAGTGCAGACACTCAAACGTCTCACAATCCCTTCAACCGCGCATTTCTTCGTTCCTCCTCCCGCTTGGCAACAACGCGATCCAGGAAATCCATGCGGCCAAGGAACCCTTCCTTGGCTCTGCTGTGTACCTTGAGCTCGTCTTTGATGCCAGCCTGGTCCACATACGCAGCCCAGTCCAGCCGAGACTTTTCCACGGTGTTGATCTTTGGTCCGCTAAAGTTCTCTGTCTGACCGGTAATCTCGGCCGTGGGTTGCTTCTCCCAGCTCTTCTTGATCGTCCCGGTGGGGTTAGGGTCAAAGCGCGAGATCTTGCGGAGGGGTCTGCGCAGCTTGAGCGCGTCCTTTGCGTTCGCAGCGTGTTCGACATCGGCGTCTGTGACTGTCTCGGCGCTCTCGCCGTTAGCCAGGAAAAGCTTCGCTTCGGCGGAGTCCTTAGGGACGATTTTCTCTTCGGTGATGACTTCGCCGGCGAATTTGTAGGTCCGTTTGATCTTTACCATCTCCTCCGTATACTGAGGTTTCGAATCCGGCGAGAGCACCTGTTCCTCGGCGGTATCGGTATCCTTGTTTTCGTCCTTCGCAGGGGTGGCATCCTTTGCTTGAGTCTGTGGAGGGAGAATGCCTGCACCGGAATCAGAGGCATTCATCTGCGCCCATATTGCATCAACGTCAACCGTAGCACCGTCGATCTTGGCCAGTGGTTTTCGCTCTTCCTGCCTGTCAAGAAGTAAATGTTAGTCATCCGGAAGTAGGGACAAGTCAGTGCAAAAGCTCAACGCACATTCGCATCCTCATTGCTCGCGTCCGTACAAAGCCCCCTGGACCGCCTTCATCATCGTCATCAAAATCCACGTCATCCTCGTTCTCATCGCTGGCAGTGCCTTGTGACTTCTTCCCTTTTTGCTTGCCCTCCTTTCTGGCCTTCACTTTCTGAATCATGGCCTCATCGCCGGAGTCGAGGTCTTTGTCTTCGGTGGCTGCCTTGTTAGGCCCTGTTTTGCGCCTTTTCGCTGCTGGTTCTGTCGCCTCATCGTCGCTATCGGAGCCGGTCAAGTCGGCATCTTCTTGATCAAGATCGAGCTGGAAATCTTCATCTTCGGCGGAGTCGTACTGCTCGTTATCAAAGTTCAAGTCGGCCACAGTAGCCGCGGGTTCGGATGCCATCTTCTTGTCTTTTAATCTGAAACACGCAACTTGAAGGAGATCGAGATGTAAGCGACGGAGGCGCGAAGCAGAAATGTACCATCGGATTCTGCCAGGGCGGTGTGTGCGATAACTGGCTGACCAGTTGGCGGGCACGGATGACCAATCAGGAGATCTCCCTTGGAAGAGAGGCCGAGGATGTTTCTTTTTGAACTGAGACTGCACACCATCTTCCAACGAGTGGTCTCCTACTAAATAAAATGTGACATTGGCCGTAATCACCACTATTCGACCGGAAGATGCCAGACTAGACTCGCAAAATGGACGCCAGAAATGATCCACGCGAACGGGAGAAGGAACGACAGAGACGAGAACAACGTGGTCTACAGTTTCAGAATGTCTTTCTCGGTTGGGATGTTAGAGAGAGCCCGCAGTCTGCTCCGTCAATGACTAGGTCCACAAAGTCATGCACAAAGAATGAGTATATGTCGATAAATCCGATCTTAGGTAGCTCACAGCCCTTACTTTGGATTCGCCGAATGTATTGACTTTAGACAGTTGATCACTTGGATCCTCTTGACGTGGACATACTGAATCAGCGACATGCCTTTGATTTACCCTCGCAGGCTGTCTGTGATGCTCTTGTGGACGTGTTCTTCAAGTGGATTGCACCAGTGTTGCCCGTGATCAATCGACACGACTTCATGCGTCGATATCGTAACCCTCAGGACCCTCCGTCAATCCTCTTACTTCAAGCCGTACTCATGGTAGCGTCAAGATTCCACCATAATGCCCAGAGCTCTGGGAATGGCGTAATCTCTCCGCGCATCTTCTACAAGAAAGTGAAAGCTTTATATGATGCTGGATACGAAAGAGACCCTACCACAGTCCTCCAGGCTGTAGTCTTATTAGGCGTGTACTGGGATGGCCCTGATGGTAGGGTATTGCTCAGCGCATTGATGTGTATTGTGTTGACAAGCTATAGATCTCACGGAAAGTGGAATATTCTATTGGAGTCGTCTGGGAATAGCTTTGGCTCAGGAAAACGGGCTTCACCAAAGGTAAAGTCACCTGGTACCATACTCTCGAGATCTAATCCAATTCAATTGCAGTGAGAACTACGTAACACTGTCTGCTACGAAGAGAAGGATCTGGAAGCGGATATGGTGGACACTGTACACGCGCGATCGATCGGTTGCTGCAGCATTCGGCCGTCCTCTTCACATCAATTCCGAAGATTGCACTGTGGAAGATCTGAAAGAAAGCGATTTTATTGAGTATGGTGAGGAAAATGACAGCGCAACAGATCGTACAGCAGTCGTCTTTTTTATGCAGTATGTGAAACTCTGCCAACTAATGGACCTTGGTCTGTGCTTGAAGCTGTCTTCCAGGTCGACGGAGGACAGTCGGATGAAGGGGACTGCGCAATGCGAACTTGGTCTGAATGACTGGCTCGTCTCTTGTCCCTCTGAGCTGCAGTGGAGACAGTCACGTCATAACTTTTGGTCAGCGATACTGTATTCGACCTTCTAGTGAGTTTGAACAGGGGAACACTGGAGAGACTGTGAGCTGAACTTCGGGCAGTACCATTGTGTGCCAGTTACATCTTCTGCAAACTCCCGACTCGTCAAAGGAAGCCCAAAGCTCAGCTTTTCATGCTGCCACGAGTATCGTGTCCATCCTGGAAACCCTGCAGTCCAGGGGCGAGCTAAAGTACACACCATCATTCATGTAAGTCTGGGCTTTTCCAGTGTGCCACTACCGGTGAGCTTACCTGTTAGAATCTGCCACGCCGTTGTGTCTTTCGTCACCCTGAGAAGCCAAATGGAAGCCTCAATACCGTCACTCCTACATGCCATCCGACAGAATCTGGAAGCCAACCTAGACATGCTCCAAGTACTTTCTCATACATGGCCCATTGCGGCAATGTTTGTAGAACTTTTTCGCACTATGACTGGTCCGGAACAGTTTGAGCGAAAGTTATCAGTCGCAGCAGAGAAGTGCCGGAAACGTGCACGTGGGGAGGAGAACGGCGATTCCACTCCCTTAAGGTCCTCGGCGCGTTTCAAAAGGCCTAAGGTACAGCAGGTGATTCTTCCACAAACTAGGATCGTCCTTCAGATTCTGCAGAGGGAAACTCAGAAGCAATTTAACTCGCAAGGCACACTCCACAACGAGTTGAATACAAGGGTCGAAAGTATGTCATCTGGCGACCATCCAGATCAGAACCGTTCTTCACCTGTGACCGAGGTTGATTCGCTGCTTGAGGACTGTGACGCTTCAGCCATATTACGGAGCTTACAGAGAATAATCGACGCTGGTAATACCACACCCCGTGATTCTCAATCAGACGACGTATTATGATTCTCTTTCAAGTACACCGCAGACGCTTTATCAATGTGCAACGTCACCAGCCATGAGAACGAGTACATAACTCATCCACAGACTTTCAAATCGTCGTGGAGCATCCAACCATGCTTGAGGTGGGATTATAGGCGTTGTGGATTCTACTGGACGCTCTCTATGAGACTTGAAGAGACTACAAACAGAGGAGCTTCATTAAACTCTCTCGGACAAGCCCTATAACCAAGCCACTCAGCCGCGTGAAGTAGGCTGAATCTATAGGAGCCGAAATCTAACCTGTATAGATTATCATCTACTGAAGACTGATGATCCGCGACCTCCAGGAAGGAGCGTGCATTGATGTTCTTGCAATACTGCCTGTTAATATGCAGAGAGCATTGTTTCGCAGACGAGTGTTCGTAAAGAGACAACGCAGTCTTGATGTTTGACTCAATCTTGAAGCTTCCAGCTGCGTGTTTCGCTATACTTTTCTCTCAATTATTTGTGCTCTTCACTATTGTTATATACTGTCCTTAAGATGCCACAGGATCCAAGTTCGTATCACAGAGAATAGGAAACCCTTCTTCGGAATATCAACCAGCACCCAGCAATAGATCGTTCTGATGGTTTGGCCTTGTCTTGGCCACGGTTGATAATTAATCAATAAATCACCAGACACCACAACGGGCCGACCCGCGCTCGGTAGTCTCGGAGTCGAGCACTACAACCTACCGAGGATGTGGAGGGCACCAACCATTCTATCGTGTCATACGCTATTTGAACGCGAGACGTCCTGAATTTCTAATCTCAACTTCCTTCATTACAGGCAACAGAAAGACACAAAATGACATCAAACAAACCAGTCGCTCTCGTCGTGGGAGCTTCCCGCGGTATCGGCAGGCAGATTGCCATAGACCTGGCCAAGAATGGCTACAATGGTATGCTCGAATCACAGGCACATCTTCAAGCACGACACTGACACTATTCTAGTCGTGGTGGCGGCAAAGACCACCTCCAACGCCTATGCGACTGTCCCCTTCCCGCCAGATCCGAACTCCTCGCAATCGACCATCAACACCGTCGAGCGAGAGATCAAAGAATCCGGTGGCGAAGCGTTCGCTCTCCCAGTTGACGTCCGCGACGTGAAGCAGGTCGAGAACCTGGTTCACGAGGCCGTTCGCCTGGCAGGCCGTCTCGATGTCCTGGTCTACAACTCCGGGGCTATCTGGTGGTCTTCCGTCGCGAATACGCCCACGAAGCGGTTCCAACTCATGCAGAGAGTGAATCCAGAGGGTCTGTATGCGAGCGTGCAGGCGGCATTGCCGTACTTTGAGAAGAATGGGTGGAAGGGACGGATTATTGTTGTCTCGCCGCCGATCTACTCGCGGTTCTTTCGGGGGAAGACAGCTTATGCGATGGGTATCTCTTATGTGCTCCCTTCACACCAGAAATTTGGGCTAATACTGGCACAGGCAAGGTGGGAATGAGCGTCCTGACCAAGGGTCTTGCCATGGATTTTGTTAGACAGGGGACAAAGGATATGGCCATCACCAGTATCTGGCCTGCAGCGGTACGTTTCTTGACCATTCTGCTATTCGATGTACTCACTCTCTGTTCAAGTCCATTGAATCAGCCGCCACAGAGGCGACCACGAATGAAGATCCTAGCCGGAAAGCCGATCTCAGGAAACCTGTGAGTAGACCTGTTCGCGCGTTGAAACATATCACTAAGACGAATAGACGATCTTCTCCGACGCTATTCTGGGTATTTTGAACAGCCCTACAGACATCGTGAACGGCCAATTGGTCCTCGATGAGGACTTTTTGCGCGACCATTGCGGTGTTTCGGATTTCTCCAAGTACGCTGTTGTCCCTGGGTCTCGGCCACGGCGGATCATGCCCATGGAGTTGCCTGTCCTTGAGGTGGCGGAGCAGGATGATGAGGGTATGCGGGTGGATAGTACGAAGTTGAGAAAGGCCAAGCTGTGATTCCATCTTACTGTAGCATACAACTTATTCATGTTCAGCAAATAGCAAATTCATATGGCGTTCGTACCGTTCAACATATTAAAGGCACTCAAGCACTTTGAAGGACACCTGGTCCACCCGCTTCACTGCTTGCGATGGTCATATAGGCAGTGAAATGATGAATACAATTTACAAGTTGAATTCCAGCCTTCAATAACATTCCAAGGAAAGCCTTCCATCAAGCTCATAAATCCAGCTTTATATACAATAGTCAGGGACAATGTTCCTGTCGATGATCTACAACTTCGCCTTTCCCTCAACCTTTAATCTCAAATCCTCATGCGGCAACTCCAAGAAATCCCACATGAAATGAAAGCGATCACTCCCAAAGAACGGTTCCGACTTCCCCTCGCCATTAGTCACCCAGAACCACGGGCACCCAAACGCCCCCAGCTCTTTGACAACCCTCTCCGTCGTCGCCGTGAGCTCGTTCTTGATCTCAGGACTCGCCGCCGCAGCCAGTATCTCCTCAACCTCAGAACCTAAGAATGCCTTCGATAATGCCTTGGACAGATTCTCCGGCTTGGAGATATCCAACTGACCATTCCACGTCGTCTCGAAGCAGGCGAGGAAAGCAGGGACGAGTTTGTGCGCGTGCTTGCGTTTGATGTATGTGAGTGCTCGTTGGGGCTGTTGACACAGCGTTAGTCTCTCTTCCCTTCCTTTCAATAGCGGAGGGGCTGTACCAGAAGCGAGAGAATAGGGAAGAACGCGGGTACTTCAAAGTCATGCCCGAAGTACTTTTGGGCGCGTTTGCCGTCGTATGTCGAGTAGGCGGCTTTGGCGGGGAGGGTCCAGGGGGGTTTGTTTCCTTTTGCTGGTCAAAATACTTTGCAAGAGTATGTGGTAGGAAATGTTGGAATAAGCGTACCGCTTCCTACGTTGATGCCTCCCAGGAAGACGGGGATGTATCTGAGCCATGCATGTGAGTGTTTTTGCGGAGAGTTGAGAGGGGAGGGCCTCATACTCGATTTCTACGCCTAGTGAGGCGAGCGCGTCTGCATTCTGCTGGAGATACGTGAAAGCGTAGAAGCTGTAGGGTGATACTATTGGATTTGTTAGCATTGATGAAGCGTGAGAGATACTTGGCTGGGATCGAACCGCAGTCAAGGTAACATTCTATTTTCTTGCCCATGGTGTATGATGGCGTTCGCTTCTACTAAACTGGCAATTCAAATGATGCAATTTGATTGTTGCATTCATGATTCATTATTAACTGTGATTTAAATCATAATGAGCATGTGGGGAGCCGAGGATGATGGCTTGTGGCGCTTGCCCCAGACAATTATATCCGACCCGCCGTCGGCTTCTTGAATGTTGATTATGCGTTCGGTAAATTTGGAGAACAGGAGAAAATCAATATGAAATTAAGTAAATATTGCAGGAAATCCGACCCCTCTCAACCAATCATGGCTTACCAGACCGACAAAAAAAAGATACGCAAGAAGTACTGCACAGCAGAACGACAACTCGCCCAAGTCAACTTGAGCATATCACACCCTGTTTGAATCCTTTGTCAAAACAGTCTCCTTCTCCACTTGGACTCCAAAAATCCTCTGCCTGGACACGTTCCGCTCAAGCCAGACTCCAAACACACCGACCGCACCCCCGACAACCTCCAGTCCAATCAACAGAGCCAGAAGCACAAATCCTGCCTTCGTCTCCCGACAATCTCGCTCGAAATGCGTCGGTGCATGTAAGGAAGCATTCTCGCTTGAGGTGACGCTCCGCATGGCCTTCCACTTGCATGTCCACGAGCGGAGTGTCTCATTGTGCGAAAATCCACCCGGATACGTGGATTGCGGGAGATAGATCGCGAATGCCAGTCCGACTGCCGCAGCGATGAGGCCCGCGACTGCCGTTCCCGAGGCGAGGATGTTGAGACGCCGGATGTGGGAATGGGGCTAGGTACATCAGTAGGTGTTCGGAATTATACGTTAGCAAGACGACTCACAGAAGGGATGAGGACCGCGACGATATAGATGAGATTGAGGACTGCAATGACGCAGCCACTAGACAGGATAGCGATTGTTGGTCGGAGATCAAAGTTCAATGGCCACAGGGCCAGTCCTGCTTCTTCGTACCCAGAGGTGCTCCGGTAGTGCTGGAAAGGTACGGCTTCGCAGCCGATGATTGCAAGGGCAGAACCGAAGCAGACCACGGACAGAGCGAGTTGGGCCCATCGGAGATAGTGATTTCTTTTGAGAAAGGTTGATTCTTCGTGGTCCGAGGCGCAGGAGACGGTGTATGAGGCTGCGGCTGAGCCTGGATGGGACAATCCGGCCTCCATTTTGAGACTTAAGAAGCAAAGTTAGGAACAAGAATAGAATGTATCACTTCAGTAAGTCGCAATAAATGAGTGAAAATGCAAGGAGTCTTGCCAGAAGACTGAAGTGAAAGTATTGAGCCAAGAACGAGGCAATGTCCACCAGGGAGGTTACAACGTTGAAGAAACCTGAGGAATCAGCGCACATTTAAACATTATCACCTCCATAAAACAATATGCGATTCTTCAAACTCACTGACGAACTTGCGTCCGTGCCCATCCTCTTTTCCGTCGGAACGTCCTGCCATTAGCAGCCGCATTACTGTAGCCGCCGGGCTGATGCAGACCATCCTCATTCGTCGGACCCTGACCTATGATAGTCACTCCTGCAGAACTTCCATGAAGAATCAGTCTGAAGTGCAGTGGCAGTAGAGTCAATCTCAAACTCCTTTTCCCCTGGCGCGTAGATATGTGGAAAACGGTGTGATGGTTGTTGGGATTGGATGTTGGAGAGCACTGATCTTGAGCGCCACTGTTCCTGGACTCCAGGTAGATAGCCCGGCGCTTCCCCAGTATCATATTGCGTGAAAACAGTCCCCAGATTTATGAATAGAGACATCTATCTGTGACTACAAGGATAAGGTGTAAGGCTTGGTGAAAATAATGACATTGTTCAATATGCACACTAAAAATTACTGTCATGTAGAAATTCATCAGGAAGGGGGAATCAATCACAATCATCATCAAACAGTGGATAAGTGCACAGAAGAAACATTTGAATAAATCTTCCCAGCTTTTCGTGATGCGTAAATCAGTCGTGGCCAGACACTCTTCGTCGCCAGTCTTCACCAGTGCGATGGACATCGACCACGTCAATTCGCTTGCCAATACCCGTCATCCCCTCCTTCTGCCACCACTTCTCACCCTTCTCGGCAAGTACCGATTCATCTTCACTGTCGATTAGGCCGCCTCGGCCGCCTTCGTCTCCAACTACCACCACGACCTGTCTGACCCAGCCAGAAATGTGTTGCACCGCATCGCCTTGTTTGCCTGTCAAGGACTCCTGGACGTAGACAATGTCGGGTGAAAGATGGCGCACAAGGTGCACGTATCCCGTCGCAGTGCTAAACGGCATGATGGTGTTCTCCTTGTCGACAATGGCCTGCGCCTGCGTGTATAAAGTGCGGAACAATGGTGAAGCGCCTTCCTGCTCATCAGCTGGGCGAGGTTCGAGAGTGGACAGGTCGCCGCTAGGTGTTTCCCCAGGCGACCTGGCCTCCTCAGGAGCGATGTTAGAATAGGATGAGGTGACGGAGAGAGTAGGATTGGATGAGCCACCCTGGTTAGGTGCATGCTTCAGGCCTGGCGCATAGATAAGAACGAAGATCTTTGCGGCCTCAGAGTCGACATGTTCAGGGAGGTGAGAAAGAATAGACTGTTCGTAGTTTGTCAGCGTAATCCATGACATCGAACCAACAAGGACCTACCGCGTGCTCAGTGAAGTCGTCAGGGTCGTGACTTGCCAACTCGGAGGAGACCACAATCGCTACCGTCTTCTTCTTTTTGTCGAGAGCAGGAGGGCCGCTCACCGCGCTGCGAGTGGGAAGCGCTCCGCTCATCGTCGGAGCTGCTGCGGCAGGTTGAGCTTCTCCCTGAGTAGCCCTCGACCGAACCTCTTCGGACCATCGCGAGTGATCCTCAAAGTCACCGCGATCCTCCTCCCGTATTGATGTGAGAGCGCTGCCCATGAATGCGCCCGCCGCAGCCATACCGGCCGCGACCCGTCTACTAGCCCCATCGAAGATCTGCTGAGGGCTCGGTGTGCGCCGCAAAGCACCCTGCATACGAGCCATCATACCAACATCGTCACCATGAATATCTGCCCCGGTCGACCTGGCATATCCGCCGTCAATGCCGACTGGAGTGCCCTCCGCGCCCGGCGGGGGGTACCGGTCATCCCTCGAGTCGTCCAGGGGGTATTCGCCTTCGTCATTATTATCGTCATCATCACTGCGTTCGCTCCAAATCCACGCAGCTATGCCAATTGTTGCGATGCCGACCGTCAAAGCCAGTGGCACCCAATACCCCATGACGGTCCGTCGCCCCGAGGAGCTGAAGCCGGTACCAGCTCCAACCCGCCGCCGACGAGCATCCTGGGAATATGGGAAAGACATTGCGGGCACTGAGAGATGATAGATGGCGGGCGCATAGAAGTCAATTCAATGGCGATGGTGTATAATGATCACATCTCAAGGTTGCATGAGAGGAAAAAGGGTGGTTGGTTAATGGAGCAAGCAAGCAGGGAGAGAGAGAGAGCCCAAGGCTGGGGCCTCGGACGAGCCGAGAAACATGTGGCTGGTGATGTCCTGGTTACCGCGGTGTTTGTCCCGCTTATTATTACAAGGATCTGACAGAATTAGTTACACTAGTTATGGGGGGTACCTTACCTAAGGTACCTGCAAAGTTTGTTATGTTTGCACTCGATTACTTCATGTTTATCAACACGTGAGAATATTCTTATCATGATTTAGGGCATCAAGCTGTTTGGCTGATTTGCACCGGCGTAGAGCTATCGGCACGTGACAGCGGGATTTTGTTTAACAAAAGATGGGTACAATCTTCCCATGCATATCAGGTTGAGTCAGAGGGCGGACGGAAACAGCACCCTCGCTGAGTTTGACGAGTCGATATATATGATACCCTGAATAGTCAGACACTATATCAGCTTGTGCGCGCTTGAGGTCAACCATAGCATAAGATATTACGACGAGTTATCCTCCCCTCTTCCCCGCGGTGATCCTTTCAACCCGATTATTGCACCCTTCTATACCAATCCCACAATCAGAACAACTCGATCAGTCACAGGCACGTTTAAAGCAAGCATTTTGCAATGCCGCACTCAATTCCTGTGCCCCCGACGGGCTTTCAGGCCCTCATTTTGTGCGGACCTGGCGTCTCTCTCAACACATTCACCTCCAATCCTGAAGAATTTCCCAAAGCATTGTTACCTATCGCGAATCGTCCTATGGTGTGGTATCCTCTGGATTGGTGCTATCGGATGGGCATAACAAGTGAGTAATTGCAAATCTACGTTGGGGATACGGACATGCGCCTGCCCTAATGTCGACCACCGGTACTCTGTTCTAACCAAGTGAAGATATCACTCTTATCACACCCCCCGCCAGTCAAGCTCCATTAGAAGCTGCTCTCTCTCAAAATCCTCACCTCACATCTCTTCCGGCACCTTCACCTTCCGTTCTCGCTCCCGCAGGCCTCACCTTGACGACGGGTACCGCGGAGCTGCTGCGTCTCCCCGAAGTCCAGTCATGCATCAAGTCCGATTTCCTCCTTCTCCCCTGTGATCTTATTTGTGATTTGCCAGGAGAATCTCTCATTGAGGCATGGATGGTCACCCAAAGCGCCCTGGGTGGCTCTACTATCGGCGGCGGCTGGAACTCCAATGGACCCAAGAGCATTGGAATGGGTGGTGAACAAGGCGGCCGCAGGGGTGGTCTCGGAGTTTACTATCAGACTAGGGAACGGGAAGAGAGCGTCAAGGGTGAGGTGACGGATTTTGTGGCTACCACACCGTTAGAGCAGGAGGAGGCACCCGCAGTCTCTCATAATTCGGACGGCCCTGTTTCGATCCGGTATGGGCTGTCAAAGCTAGTGCTCTCGATACCTATGGATACACTGAAAGAACGGATGGAAGAGCAAAAAGCGCTTCTCATCCGTCATTCGTTAGTGAAGAAGCACGCTCAGGTGAAGATGTTGACGACCTACCGCGACGCCCACATCTATGTATTTCCTTACTGGGTCAAGGAGATGGCTGTGTTGAATGAAAAGTTTGAGAGTGTCGGAGAGGATCTTGTCGGTTGGTGGGCCAAGGCTGAGTGGCAGAAGGGTCTAGCGGAGAAGCTGCGACTGCGCGAGATTTTCGAGCCAGAGGGTCGTGGAGCCGCAGAGAGTGGCAGTCTGGACGGCGAGTATATCGAAGAGGAAATCGATCTCAAAGCGATGAGCACCACCAAAGCGGGAGCCGGCACATCACGCGACGCTTTGTCAGACGATCCCTCAGAGTCCGTGCAATTCGCGTCTCGGGTGAAGAGATCCGGTACTGATTTGAGCACCGCGCCGCCGGAGCCATCCAAAGGCACGCTCACGGTGCCCCCGTTACTGGCATATGTTCACTCCTCGCTGCCGTCTGCGCCGCTGGTCAGACGTGTGGATACATCGGCTCTGCTTCTGTCCGTGTCCCTCCGTCTTGCCAAACTTGAGTCGATCGAGGAGGTTGGCCGCATAGCGGCGTCCCCTTTCGCTCATAACCAAAAGGTCGCCTACCCGGCCGGCGTCGCTCAGCGGTGCACGGTCACCAAGGCCGACTGTCTTCTTGCCGATAATGTCACGGTGGAGGAAAAGTGTGTCATCAAGGAATCCGTCATTGGCGCTAACTGTCACATCGCCAGCGGTGCCCGCTTGACGCGCTGTCTAATCATGGATGGCGCCGTGATTGGTGAACGCTGTCAACTGACTGGCTGCATCGTGGGCCGACGGAGTCAGATCGGCCGCGAGAGTGTGCTCAAGGACTGCGAGATCCAAGATGGAAACATCGTCCCCGAGGAGACAGACGCGAAGAACGAAAAGTTTATGGTCTTTGAGGGTCTGGATGACGAGGACGGCGAAGGAATGGATGTTTCCGAAGAATTCAGCGACGGCAACGACGAGCTAGGGTTTTGATTGACTGGGCACGGCCCTTTGATGTTACGAAAAATCTATGTCTTGATGTCCGACGACGGTAGATGCTTGCCTTGACGATACCGCTACGTTTTAGAAAAGAATTGATTGAGTCATTCTAACCTCCCGAGTATTCTCAACTCCTAGGCCGCTCTTGCAAAAAACAATGGTATCGTAGCCTCCCAATGCCGTAAAAAGGAAACAACAAATCACCTATGCGCCCGCGCACGGCTACAGTAGTATGCTCAACGAGCACACAGCATCACTCCTCTCTCTTGTCCCTCCTGCGCTGTTGTTCTCCGCGCGCCAGCGGCGACTTCCCAATCGACACCATCGCCTGCCTTTTCTTCCCATTCCTCCGCTGCGTAATCCGCCTCACGAGCATGGCACGAGGTATCTCATGCGTCTTCCGCGGCGCATGCGCAGAGGAAGCATCCATCGACTCCTCTCGCCTATTCCTTCCCCTCCCCGCAAGAGCACAAGACGAGCCGTGATTCAGTTCCATCGGCATCGTGACAGGGATAGGTGTGTATGGCACTACATCCGTCACGACCTGCATCTGATCGCGAGCTCCATTCCAGTTCCGGTTTCCGTCGCCATCGCCGTCGTGGACAGCAATATCACTCGCTCGTCCTGCTGTCAGCAGCTGCTGAGGTGCAACTGTAGGCGTAGGCACTTGCTCGGGTTCAGTCTTCAGCCCCGACCCGGACCGGGAGCCAGTCGAATAGTAATAGAATCCCGCTGAGGGATGCACATTCCGTCCCTCCCAGTTCAACCCATCCCAGCTTGCTATCGCCGTCGCCATCGGCGTGGCCATGGTCGACTCTGCGTGCGCTTCGTGCGCATCTGGATCTGGATTTGGAGCTGGAGTCAGGTCACACAGATTGTCCAGGTCTAAGTCCAGGTATAGGTTTAGGTCGAGAGCCTGGACGGCTAGCCGGGACTCCTCCGCCAAGGCGTCCAGGTATCCATCGCTTTGGTCATAAGCTGCTCTTTCGGGACCGGGCTGGTCGAACCGTTTGTGGTCGCCGCGGGCGAAGAATCTGGCCACCATGTCTAGGAAGCCTGGTTGCGCGACGGAGACGTTCAGGATGGAGGCGAGTGTTTGTGCGGTTAGGAGACTCTGGTGGGTGGTGAGGGTTTGTTTGCTCTGGGGGTATGCTTGTCTGCAGAGGGGGCAGGGTTCTCCGAGGAGGGCAGTTGATGTTGGTTCTGTGGTGTGGGATGGCAGGTCCCGGAAGGGACAGGTGAGGGTCATCGGGATGAGGTGGTCACAGTTGTGCCAGAAGATGGAGATGTGGCACATCTTGCTTAGTAGAGACCCGTTGGAGAGGTGATGAGCTGCCGATGAGGCCTTGGGAGCTGAAGGGCGCTTGCTGGTAGTATTTGTATGCTCTTTGATGATCATGAGGTGGTCTTGAGATCATTGTGTGGTGCATGGTTGTGGAGGGTTGGTATGAGGAAGATAAAGGGAGGTCTTGGGCAGCTGGTAGACAAGGAGGTCACTGGAAGTGATGTGTTGCTGAGGATAAAGGGAGAGTGAAGTGTGTCATGCTCCATTGTGCTGGTCTCTGTACTTGAGGTTGCTTTGTCTGCATCTGTTTTAGGTTCCATCATTGTTATTGTTCAGAGGCCACGACAATGAAATCGATGAAGCATCTGGTCTGAGAGAGGCGAGTGTCAAGTCTTTGTCTCCTGCTTATTGATCACTCGACATTTGCATTGTCAGCTTGTCTGTCAGTGGATTTGAATTTAGCATAAAGATGAACAGTACGATTCAGTCTGCATAACAGCACCTAAATCTGTGAAAAGTGTGGTTCTGATCATGCTGGCTATGATGCTTTTGCTTAAGAATTCCACTTGCCTCAGTGCCATCCAATCTCACGTCTTCCCCTATATCTGCAACATCGATGAGCATTATTAAGATATCTCATGGTTACCGCACCACTATCAGATATATATACTGTACCAAAGATGTGTGACCTCCCCGCCTGATGTAGTAAAGATGGCCCTAGAGGTAATACAAGCATCTACCTTCGTGACAGTGCTGCCCACCAACATCAAGCACAATCAGGGAAGGGTGTCCAGGTCAAGCTTTCGGCATGAGAACGCCTTCAAGCAAACTTACGCACATGCTAGCTCTTTTAGAAATCAGACCAGCAGATCGAGTCTCTCTATTACATCACTTCCATGCTGACAGGAGGACATTCTAGAACCTCGAAGGAATCAGTCTAGACTCGAATATCGGGGTGGCCAGGGTAGACCACTACGTATGGCTACTCTCAGCATACAGATAGAGGATCAATCTTCTGACGATTGACTCGATCGCCTCGAAAGTGCAATATTGTTGCTGACGACGCTGTTCTCCGGAGTATGTATTTGATGCCCACATCACTGTTTCCCCTCTCTATTTTTAGAATAATGCATGTCTTATGTTGTA